ACACACACACACACACACACACATCAAAATGATTTATCAATTGCACCTGAAAACTGAAATTAACATAAATCTACATAATAAATTCTGCTTTCCGAGTGTATTTATACATCATTTGAAGGATTTTTGTCACTGTTATACTCTTATAAGTAATTTAACGTTGATGTGGATCTAATTCTATTTTGTTTATGTTCTTTTTGGTAGTCTTTTGTCTAAAAAGACAAATATACTCCACCACCTCTGCATTTGTTTCCTCTTCCAACTGTGTGTTAGTTAGCACTGAAACACAAAAACAGCTGGATGGATCAACATGAAACCCATTCAACTTGGCTGAGGATCCAGACCAGGGAACAGATCCAGGATTATATATTTACTTTCTTTACCATTGCGAGATGGCACTTTTTTGGGGATCTACTGAATTTCATTGTGGTTTCATATGGGGACTTTTGGGCCTTGGTGGAGTTATGTGCTCTCTGCCTTCTGGTTTATAATGTGATTATATCTTCTGTATGCAAATTTTAATCTGAAAAAAGATAAGTAAAAATCAAACACCTGCAGTGGGGGAAAACGGTATATTTCCCTGTGTAATCAGTGAAGAAATGTAGAAGTATAAAGTAACTCACCCTGAGGGTCGACCTCTTTGGCAATCTTTAAAGCGTCAGAGTTGGCCAGATCAGAGTTTGCTGGGGAGACAGCCAGCATCAGGCAGTTCTCCTTGGTGACAAACTGCATCAGCATCTCTCTGATCTGGGACTCAATGTCTGCAGGTTGGTCGCCCACGGGCACCTTGGTCATCCCTGGCAGGTCCACCAGCGTCAGGTTCAGCACTGTGAGGAGAGAAAGGAGCACAAGAAAAAAACTAGAAACATGATCTGTCTCCAAATGAGAGGAAGTGCATTATCTGCCGATATGAGACTTTTAAAGGAAATGTACATTGGTCTCTATTTGGTAAGACAAATACAACCACAAAACAGCAGGCAATTCACATCAAGCTGGTGTCTGTGTGGAAACAGAGTTGTGTGAGCCTCACCGTGAGGGGAGTAGACTCGCAGGTTGATGGGCACAGGGGAGATGCCCTTGTTGGCCCCGGTGATGCGATCAGTCTCCGCCTCAATCTCCTGTCGGACCTCATCGAAATCGACAAACTTTTTGCCCTTACAGTGGAGAAACTCAGCGTACTCTAAAGACAGTGAAAATAAAACAGAAGGATTTTAAACATATTCATGCCATCTTAAGTCTTTATTCTAAAGAAAGAAAGCACATCATTACAAGTTTGTGGAATAATGCAGTCTTAAATTAATCCACATATATTTCTGATTCACACCATGAAGACGTGTGTGAAAAAGCTCGAAACCCTGAAGCAGCCTAATGAATTGTAACCATGGTAACACAAGGATACTGGTATCATCTCAACGTTAACTTGAGTGGAAAAGATATTGAGGAACTGAAGCAGTGAGAGTGGAGGAGGATTGTGGAGGAGGTTTATACATGTGGGAGATGAAGTACGTGTCGGTTTCTGAACTTGTGTCTCTGTCTCCACCTTCAACAGGATGGATGTAGAGTTAGAGTAGATAAAGAGTAGATGTAGAGTAGATGAGGAGTAGATGAGGAGTAGATGAAGAGTTTGGTCTAGTAGCAATACATAAAACACATCTGGACAAAAAGATGTGGAATACTGAGTATATCCTGTAGAAGCTTTAAATGCAATTCGATTAATGGCCACTAGAGGCTGGCTCCAACCCTCTGTAGGTACAGGCTAGAGAAAAACATCTCTTGAAAAGCGTAGTAAAAATATTTGGTGTTATTTTTACCTTTCTGTAATAATGATATTAAGGTTTACAAAGTAGTTAAAAATACAGGCTTCTAATCAGAGATCTCACACCCACTAAGCCAGAAAAGTATGATTGTATACGAATGAAGAAACATTTTTAAGGCTCTGCAGTAAGATCAGTTTTCACTCAACACCGCTACATATCCCAAGACCTGGAAGATGAGAATGACAGGGCTTATGGGTAATGGGGTTTTTACCTGTGGGACAGGTCATCAGCTGCAGAACCAAAGGACGACGGGTCACGATGCCGGAACCACGGGGAAGGAAATCCCTGTAACGCAACAGACAGACGGCAAGGACAATGGTCAGCTACAGTAAAAACTACTGAATGAAGACAAACAAAAAGAAAGAACTTTACATCAATATCATGAATACTTCAGTAGATTGTTTTTTAAATTAAACACTTAAATGACTTTAGTGGAAAACATCCATCACACATTAAAATCACAAAGATATCCCATTAAAAATATCTCAGAGAAGCAGCCAATCCTCAGTTTTTAAAAGCTGAAATCACAGAATATTTGTCAGCTATTACTTGAAACAAAAATACAATATAAAAACAATGATAACTAAAATGGTTGCCAAGCTATTTTCTGTCTTTGAGAGAAATTAAATAATCTCTGATCATTGCAGCTCTACAATGAAAATATAACACTGTGGTTTGATTGAGCATGAAAAGATATCATTTGTTTGTTCAAGAAATAAAATGTAAAATGTATTCGAGGTCTCTGTTTCTATGTTTATCTTTACACAGAGAATTAGCATTTCTTCAGCAGCAGCAGTGAGATGGAAAAACCACCAGCAACACTGCAGCAGAATAATTTCACAGCTGAGTAACACTAACACATCACAAGGAAATAAAACGATTAGCAAAAAGCTCTAAAGTTCATGAGCTGTGAGCCATTTACATCAGATTGTTCTGCAGTTTCTCCTTTTTTTCTAAAGTACATTATTTTGTATTCGATTTGGAAAATGGTATGACAGAAAAGAAAAAGAAAAAAATACTGAATTACACATGATTCTTGAAGCACTTAGGATCTTGTATATTCTTTCCTGCTATTCTCTTTGTTGAGGGCTTGTGTGTTTGTGTATGTCTGTTACCAAGTAAAATATTGTGCTGGTGTGTCTGAGGTGTGAAGTGTGTGTGTGTGTACAGACGACTCCCTGCCAACATGTGTTTTACGCCTTTCCATGTGCAAGACACTGATTTTCTTCGGGGCTGCGCAGCTGCTTATGCAACATCAGCGTCAGCTCGCCACTGGCACTGCATGCTGCTCAACAGCCGACACGACACTTCCTATCCAGTGACGTGTGTGTTTCTGTGCGTGTGTGTGTGTTTTTAGCAACAATGACACTGTTGGGGACACATTCTGCAGCACTCAGTCAGTTCTTGTTCTAGTCGGAAACAGCTAAATTCGAATATATATTTCCTGACAGAGTTGGAATTACAGCAGGAAGATGAAGAACTGTAAAATGTTTTCAGTCATAATATATGATCTTATGTCGTTTTAACACAGAGATAAATGATTCAATATGTGATGAGAGAAGTCGACAGTAATCAAGTGAACAGCATGAATAAGAAATAGTCGAGGACCTGAGGCAGTTTGGATACATGAGTCATGAGCTGAGAGTTAATGAGGACACAATCATGACCTCACAATGAAAAGCGAATTCAGCAATCAGATGTGAAATTATTTCACCTTATCTCATTTGTTTTTCATTTTGATGGAATGATTCAAAAGCTGTAACTTAAATGTTCCCTGACATTGACACTGCTGCCACAAAGTGTGCAAACTCATTAGTAAACAAGTTTTAGCTGCAATTCTTACATTATTTTCTGTTTCTTAGCTGTAAACAAGCTTTAAATAATCTAAATTATAAAATATCTGTGGGTAATGGTTCAAGTTTGGTTAAGTTGTTGCAAGTTGTGATCATGAGAAGATGCAGCTGTATTTTAATGATATGTTAGCTCCGCCTTGGCCCCAATTCTGACCTTATGCAGGGATTGGGTGTTGGCGTGGACAGGACCAATCCACATTAAAAACTGTTTATTTGTAAATTACATCAACAGATACAGATTGTTCTCCATCTTTTAAATTCAGTCAAGTCACTGTTCAACTTTTCTTCAGTTAAATGACATGAAAATTATTCAAAAATAACTTCAATGAATGTGAAATATAGATTTTTAATTTGAGAAAAAGAGGGAACAGGAACAGGTGTACTTATATCATAGGTTAAAAACAGCTCTTAGTTTCCATATCGCACTATAGTCCAAGTCTATCAGTAAATAGACAATAGGGGGCCTTTAATTAATTTGACATTCATTAAAACCATTAAAGTGTCTGACAGATGAAAGTTATACGTTTCTAGAGATCTTTCTTTAACCTGATCCTGAAAATACATCACATATCGTGTGGTTCATCAAACTGAAGCTACTGTTTGCACATCACCAACACCAGCGTCTCTGGATACAGCAGTAAGTGTTTGTATACACGTATGTGTATATATACTGCCGCCTTGTACGAAAAAGGAAACCCTGCTGGCCTTTTGCATTTGTCTGTCCATCTGCTGGTCGCCCTGTCTGTCTGTCTGTGTGTCTGCCAGTGTGTGTGTCCCTTTCTCCCATTTGGACATGTTTATGTGGAGACAGATGGCCCTAACTGCAGGTCTTTCTCTCACTCCTCGTCCTCCCCTCCAACTGCCACACACAGACAGACACAGACAGAAAAGACTTCCCCGCTGTCTATAAACCAAGAGAGTTCAGTAGATGTGACAGTATTGGGACTATCTCTCTCTGTTCACTCCTTTATCTAATCCTGCTAAGAGAGAGACAGCCTTGTGTGTTTTCATCCCCCACAGTGAGGTGGGAAATCACTCACACTCGTAAAGCACCGGCCCGATCCCTGTACAGCAGAGACAAATACAGACAAGCACTGAAAAATGAAAAGGAACAAACAAGAATGGTACAGAAAAATATTGATATTGATATTTGTGTGTGTGTGTGTGTGTTGGGTGGATCAGGGAGGTCACAGATACACTCTGCATCACTGTGGCAGAGTCACAGCTAATAAATCAAATACATTCGATTGATTTTTCTTTCGATCATCTTGTCCAAGTAAAATTATTTTGTTGGGATAAACATTCATTCAGGTTCAGTGAGCACCAGCTGCGGCAGAGTAGTGACTCATTGCTTCTTTGTTTTAAACGCTCCACATTCAGTGGTGTAGGATGAGTGCACTACACACACAAACGAAATATTCACTCTTGACTTTCACTTCTGATGCCCAGTCGCAGACACTGAGACTTAAACCTGCTCTGATGCCTGCAGCAACAACAACCCTGACAGTAGTGAAGCAGCACAAACAGGCAAGGCTCCTTCCCAGCATCGCTTGGCTCCAAGCAGGATGAGAACGCTGTTTAATAATAGTGCACTCTCTCTCTCTCTCTCTCTCTCTCTCTCTGTCTCTCTATTTCTCTCCCTCTCTCTTCCACACACATTACCGTCAACATCATAGTTAGAAGGAGCCAATGAAATAGCTGGATACTGGATTCCAGATTAGACGAGAGCCGATAGGAGAATGTGTTGTTGGTGCGCAGCAGTCCAAACACAGATTAGTTGTAATCCTCTGTAGCAGTATCAGAACAAATCATGTCCTCTCTCTATCCTCTGTCTGTCACTCTTACTGTGTCACTCAGCAGCAGACCAATGAAAATAAACTGGAGCTGGGCGCGAATCATTGGAAAGACAGACACAACATTCTCAGACGGAGACAAACTACCTTTGTGTTCATTTGTTTACCAACATGTTTATTTATTCCTTATTCTTAGAAGGAGTCAAGAAACATAGTGTAACAGTTGATGAAGATCTGATCAAACTAAAGCCAAGATAAGGCAACAGGAATTATAAATGAATGGTAATCAATTTCAATATTTATTAAATTTGATGATTGTCTCCGGACAAATCTCGCATTCTCTCTTAGCTACATACACAAATATGATCAACTGGTGGTTCCAACTGAACTTTGCATTCAACTTATACTTTAAAGAAATCCTCCTTGGAGTTAACGCTGGAAAACTATGGGATCAGTAACAAACTGCATCACCACATGAGCTCATATTTATTTGAAAACTAGATTTACCTCCACTAAGGCTCAACAGTGAAACACTTCAATTGACTAGACACAGATTTGTATTTTGTTTCATAAATATCATTATTCCTTTTCATTCTGTTCTATCAATTTTCACTGCACAGCCTGAAAAATATACTTTCTAAATATTGTGGGTGCTTTGTCTTACTGGGACATTTCCTTAACATGTGATCTTTTATAAATCATTAAAGCACGAGCCATCTTTGTGTACCCCTGCCTCCCCCTCACTGTTTAATATGAAAAGGATAAAGGAGCTTCAATACACGTCCTTGTCTTTCACATGAGTGAAGCTGCTGCTGCGACTCATCAGAGCGCTTCCGGCCTCCTCTGTGTTATGCAACGCATGAAACCAGCAATATATCATAAACTTAATCTGTGTGGGGGTTGGAATAGCAACGGTGCCAGTGGTGGTGGGGGGAGAAACATCTGCGTTATAGTTTTATGTTCTCTGGGTTGTGCTCGTGCCCGCAGCCGTCACTGATGACAAAGTGCTTCAGCCGGCTGAGCCGTGCGAAAACATCACAAACGCACATGTGACATTTACACTCACCTCTCCTTTTGGTATGTATCAGCTGGAGAAGTGACCTCACACTCCCCTGAAATGCTTTTAGTAACTTCTACTTCTAGTTCTGTTTCTATAATCCCATACACTGCCTGGAAACTGAGGTTCATTTTAATCTTCTGTGATCATCTGAGGGTTATATAATTATCATGATATTCTTATTTCCACTGACAGTGACACAGTGTGTCGTGTTTGGTGTCTCCGGAGCAGTCGAGCAGACGTGGTGCTGATGTGGTTGTTTTAGTGGAGGAGCTGTCCGTGGTGCTGAACCTACTTTCTGGACTAAAAAGAACACGCAGCTGAGAACATCAGCCACGTTTGTGTAAACACTGTGAGATATGAATTCAACCTACTGATTTATAGCTTCTCTCAATCTGTGTTCTGGGCCACTTTGGTTTTGTTTTGTGTAAAAGCCACACGACTTTTGTTTCTAGTGTCTGTGAATTGACATCCAAATATTTCAGTGTAGAAAATCCTCCACATAGAAAAATGATTTAACTATGGTGACATTGTTGTTACTGTTGTGAGGTAAAAATGTTTTATTGTCATATTTCAATAAGAATCGCCTAAAATTCCCAAAAGAAACTCAGTCAACTTATTCTCAACGAAAATGCAGTCGTGTTTTTATCTGTGCAGACTACAGCTATCTATAAAATGTCAGAATATCGAAGAAATCAGTTTCTCCCAGCAAAATGTCAAAAAACAGAGAAATGTTCACATAAGGTGAGGAAAAGTAGCAAATTCTCACAATTGAGAAGTGAGAGGTAGATGTTTTCTTTAGACGTTTTGCTTGAAGAATGACTTAGAATATTGAATTGACTGTCAGAATAGCTGTGAATGGATTTTGTAGATTGATTTATTGATTAACTGATCGTTTCAGCACTAATGAAGACAGAATGTGCCACATGCTGCTGCAGCACTGCTGCAATTTACTTTACTCAGCCTCTTCGACTTTCTGAGCATTTTACTCCTTTTTGCTGCGGTTGCTTTTAATTTGACGCCTCTCCTCCTCTTCACTGTGACACTCATTCAACTTTCCTACTGAATAAAATGTCAAACTGTGCACAACAAAGTTGAATATAGTCAAATATCCACATGTGACCGAACATCCCACCTCCACCTGTAAGATTGACAGGTTTGTCCGCAGCTGGTGCTCAGACCAGTTAAAGACTCTCTGCACTAATGAGACTCATGGGAGTTAAAACAGTGACTGGATGACAGAAACAGATTAGGAACTGGGCGTGGTCCTCAGATTAAGATTTTTTAACATTTTCTTTATTCTCAATTTCTTATCTGGTCATTGAGAGATTCAAGATTTCATTACAGGGCTAATATGAGAGATGCTTTATGGTGATATAGAGGAAAAACATGTACGGTTCTGAAACTACTGTATAAGTCAAAAGATAAATTGCTCAACCAAAAAATAATCTGCAGGTGTCAAGTTAAATTTTTTTTTTAGTTTTTACTATTTTGTGAACATTTAGAGGTTCAAATTTTTGCAACTTATTCAAGAGGAAAAGAAAATGAACATGGCCGAATCCATCTAAGATTGTCATAGTCTAAGACAAGAGAAGGGGGTACTCATTAAAACAACAAATTCACAAAATTCTTGATACATTTCATAATTGCCAAAGGTGGTTATTCTTACATGATCACATTTGATGGATTTCTGTCACTTTACTTTAACCTTGCTGCATTTACTTTGTACATTTTACAGCCATAAAGTCGCCCCTGAGTTGAACTGAGGTAATAAACTGCAGACAGATTGGAGTGAAGCAGACTCTGTGCTCGAAGGACACATTAAGTTTGCAAGATCAAATATCAGCGAAGGACGGAGGATGAAGAGAAATATATCAATTTGATTGGTGTCCTAAAATGTTCTCTGGTGCCTTCATTCAATATCTCAGCAGCTTGTCCATCACTTGAGAAGCTGGTTGTCCTTGTCCTGAAGTCACAGCTGCTGGGGACGCACCAGCATCACAATCTGATCCACCCGAGAGGAGAGGTGTCATGTTTAACTATGAGAAGTCTTTAAATGAGGTCTCTGTCGATCCTGCAGCTGCTGATTATTATTGAAATTCAGCCTCACTCTATGTGGCAGGAACTGATTGATAATAATAAAAGAACTCTTCTCTCTTCACTCTGCCAGCTTATCATCTCAAAACCCAGAATATTGTGAAAAAATGTTAGCAATTATTTTAGAAAAAGTGAAAAATAAAATTGTTCTAGACTCATTACACGTAAACTGAAATGTTTTTGGCCCCACAAAATAGATGAGCTGGATATTTAAATATTTTGAGATACTGGATTTTCTAGAGCTGTAAGCAGTAATCGTCGTAATTTTAAAAAAAGGGTTGAAATACTTCCATTTTGTATGCAGTGAAACAGGGGATGGGAATGTACATCATGTGAGGAAGAATACAAAATACAAAAACTCCTTAACAAACACACTGTAACTTGTCAATGTCCACATGAGCAATAATTCCCATGTAAAATAACCCCAAACAGGCAAAACACCAAATTATAACTAAATATTGACATTTAGTGGCAGAACATCTCATGAGCCAGGAGGACAAAATATTGCAGCATCAATATTTTGTCCAATCCATAATCTAGAATATAAGAAAGTTCCACTTTTGAATTAAATAACAAAACAAATTGCCACAATATTCTATTAGTCTGAGATGCAGCTGTACATGGCTCGTGAAATAATTGATTTAAATGTATCAGTGTCATCTATATGTCTCCTGTACATTTGTATTGATTTGTCTCAACTGACCGTCAGCTGTGAAGCCAGACAGAGGGAGAACAAAAGCCAGGGTGAGAGCTGTGAGGGAGAAATAATCAGCCCCTTCTTCCTGCCAAAACCAAGCTATTAAAAGCAAAAAGGATTAAACAGCAGGCGGCGTAATGATGATAGTCAAAAAGATTACCAGAGTGACACGCTGCTACGTTAAATAACTTTTCTGAGAGTGTAAACACACAGCGTATTGTAGGAGTGTGTTGACTTGGGCCTGATAACACAAACCACAGTGGGCCACAGGGATAAGGATTGGAGGGGGGGGTGTACACTGGAGGAGGAGGAGGGGAACCTGAGACACTGCAGAGTGCGTACATTGACACAAGACCAGCCTCTGCAATGTGTCCACTGCTGCAGTCCTCACAGACACCTGCAGACAAGAGGCAGTAAATGTGCTTCACAGTTCAAATCAGGCTCCGCTGTCATATAGAAAGGTTTCCTTGCTATGTTTCACTTTTGCCTCCGTCTAAACCCGCAGGTCTCTCGGGTACATGCAATGTAATTAGGCACAAGCTGTTGCTATGGCAACAGCTGAGCGGGCGCAGAACAACGTGGACGCGCTCAATAATTGTAAAAAGATTGTTGTGATGATACAAACTACTGGAGAAAAAGCAACAACTGATTTGCATTCTGGGTCATTTAGATGCCAAGTAAAACTATGCTAAATTGGTTCCCTTCAAGTTAAAGCGCGACTGATATGGGTTTTTGGGGTCCGATGCCGATTTCTGATACCGATACATTAGATGTTATCAAACGCTCATGATGAAGAAATGTCATGAACTTGATATTTTACAGTTGAACCACAATCTTTATCGATCTATCAATCAAAAATAAATATACAAATATTGAATTAAGAAGATAAATAATATGTAAAACATAAATGCACATCATTTCTGTATCATTCCCTATGTAAAATAAAAATATCAGTTAACGCTGATATGTGTGTGGAAGGTTCATATCGGTGGATATTTAAATCCACTAAATATCACTTGCAGGCTCCATCTGTCACCACTGAACTGATATTCCTTCCACTGGTTAGCATCGTGTGTAGATTAGCGTAATAGCCTGACTTGTAAACAGTAGGCCCGCCTCACCCACTACACGTTAAGATGGGGATTAGCACTCAGGCCATGTGCTGAACTGTGCGTCCCTGCAGCCGAGCAAGTAAAGGTGTCAACAAAAGTAAAATGAACAGCTACATCTCAAATCAGCTGCTGCACTGATGGACAGACAGATCCGGCGGTACGAGTAACGTGTCGTGGTGGATTTCCCTGCTATCACTCAGCATGGGGGGGGCACACTATGAACACACTCTGACCTTGCTGGAGCAGAGGATACTGCTGAATCACACATTCTGTGCTCAGAGCGTCAAAGGGGAATAAAACCCATGAAACCACCAAAAAATACAAATCTGATCAAGTGAAATACAAGCAAGCAGGGCTGACGGGCAGTCGGCCAGTGACACCCATGTTGCAGCCTGTGTGAGGTAAGCTTCACTTACAGCCTAAGCACTGGCAGACAGATGGATGAGCTGAGCTGGAAGGGCTCAAAGCTCAGGTGGACTGTCTCTTTCTCGCTCTCAGCAAGGTCATACTGCAGCAGAACACATCACATTTGTTCCCCTTGTTTTCTACCATCATCCTCCTCCTCCTCCTCCTCCTCCTCATCATCGTCAGCCCTGACAAACTGCATGTCCTCACACATTATCTTTTGCACGCCTGCCTGCGGGATTAGCTCGCCTGTGGAACGACAAGACTCGACAAACACATCCCGTCAGCATCCAAAATGTGTGCGTTTGCAGGGGTTTGCAGGCCCAACGCTGCAAAACACAGGGTTTTACAGGGAGTCAGCCTCCAAACCTTCCACTGCCTCTGTCATACACATCAGAGAACTCATGATGCTACACACGTCTTATTTTAACACTGACATGAAAGAATAAGTCCTTATCATTCTGTGAAGCCTCCATAACCAGAGGTGCCATCATGCAGCAGGGATTTGTGCAGGCCTAACAAAATAATCTTCCTGCCTTGGTGTGAGAGACAGAGAGAGAGAGAGAGAGCAGGGGGATGTGTGTGATATTTGGATGTAAAAACCTGCCTGAGAGGAGGAAGAGGAGGAGAGGGGGGGATGGGAGACCGAGATGTTGGAAAGTGTAGATGGAAATGATGGTGAGGGGCCGTTTGCGTGATACACCGACACGCATCTTCAGCCTGGGGGGTGGGGGGGTGAGAGGAACAAAAAAAAAAAAAAGCGACACTCACTTCCCCACGAAGTTCTCCAGCACCGAGCTCTTCCCCGCGCTCTGCCCGCCCACCACGGCGATCTGCGGCAGGTCCAGGTTCGCGTTCTGGCCGATGGCGGAGAAGGCATCCTGCATACGGTTCACCAGAGGAATCAGATCCTCCATTCCCCGGTTCCCCATCTTCGCGGTTGCACCGAGGCGACGCGAACGATCTTCTTCCTCTCGTCTGCGGGGGTTAGGGGGGAGTTCGTGTCTCGTTTCTCTCCTCCTCGGTCCTCTGCCTCATGGACTGCGCCTCCTCCTCCTCTTCCTCCTCGCTTGTGTCAGATCACCTCGGACATGGACGCTGTTCTCCACTGAGCACCGCAGGGAGGAGGAGGAGGGTGATCTCCTGTGTTTTCCTCAGGAGAGAGCCCTGCAGTTCTGCACGCACACCGCCAGATGGCGACGCTGTCGTCACTGTGCGGCAGGTGCTGGGCCGGTGTCGAGCAAAAATAGGTTCCCCGACTGGGCTCGCGACCCCATTCGCGGGAGCGCGCCTGCATTCAATCAGGGGTGGAGCGGAATAACTAACCTTGATTTCAGCACAGTTTAATTCATCGTTGTACTTAATTCACTTTATACTACATGGCCCAACAATCATAATGCATATTTTTATTTCCCTGAAACCAGAGCTGTCTTTTTTTCAGGAGGATACATTTTTTACAATGTGATTAAATGTGTATCTCCCTTTAACTTTTGCTACAGTTATAAATAGTATTAGTATTTTTAAGGAAAATGTATATCACTCTTAAATGTTTCCCCCCTATAATTATGTAAAAATGGTAGCACCCAACAAATTACAGCGATGGGAGGATTAAATAAAAATCAGGGGATGCATATTTTCCCAGTCTGAAAAAATATGAACCCCTGAAATTGTATATGTCTATATTTACCTTTTCTATGTAACCAAATGTCTTTTCCAGCATTTAACGTTGACTTATTGGGAGATGCCAGATTAACTGTGTTATTTACATTGTATATCAGACCTGAATGTAGAAGATTACAAATGAAAAACTGTTGTTAAATCAGTAGTTTTATATTTTAGATTGTGTGAGTAAAAGGAAATCCAGATGATCCAGAGCTTCATCCGTCATGCACCGATGAAGCGTTTCCTCCGTGGAACCACCAGAGGGCGACAGCTCGCAGTCGCTCCACTCAGTCGTTGAAAGGCTGCTTGTTGTTATCCCAGCTTCGTGAGAGTATCTCCGGGTCCGAGAGCAGCTCACTGACCGCTGGGATCCACCGCCGCTCCACGCTCTCACAAGTAAGTCCCTGACAGCTGCAGGGAGACCGGAGGAAAAACGAGAGTAGCCGAGGTGGCGCAGCTAGCAAGGTTCTGCGTGTGCTAGCAATGCTAAGCTAACTGGTCGGGTTCAGTTTCCTAGCGGTGGCTAATGTAGCTCCGTTCATTTCAGAGCAAGTGACATCTTCTCATTCACGCCCCCGTAACATCTCCTCTGTGTGAGTTTTATAAAAGCACGAGGCTCTCCTGCAAGTGGCTAACATGCTGCTGTCGTCATAAAGTTAGCTAACCGTGTACAGGAACAAAATACGCACGCAAACATTGTTGTTAGCTTACTTGCTAACACTAGCCAGTTGTCATCATGGAACATGAGAGACCTGTTGTCTGGAGCGGGGGGGGGGGGCTTTGTTGTTTGATGTGTGTATAACAAAGAGTGGCTCTGACAGCAGCAGGACTCATCTTCACCTCAGACCGTTTTCCCTCCTCAGATCCGGGGCTGTTATTTCCCCCTGACGTGTTTAAACACTGCAGATCTGTCAACAGCCGCCGGGTAACGTTGGGAATTAAGAGCCCGTGATGTTCAATCCTCACATCCATCAGCAGCAGCAGCAGCAGCAGCAGCAGTTCCACCAGCACCTGCGGCAGCTGCAGCAACTTTTCCAGCAGCAGCAGCCTCCGCCGCCTCCTCCTCCGCAGCCGCCTCCGGGGCATCATGTCGCGCATCACCACCACCAGACGCCGCGGTAAGCGCCATTAACTCGAGACCGCGGATTCAGGCAGGGCCTCCCAGGTGATGCGTGTGTGTTTGTGTGTGTGTGTGTGGCTGCAGGCGATGGATTAGCTGGAAGCCCTGAAACAATACATGATAAACTGAGCGGTTCTGTGGATGAATGGAAGTTTATCAGCGCACAGTATTTTAGATTTTTACATTTTCACTGTGAGTTCGTCCATTCAGCCCAGTCTCTGGTATTGGTTATATTGTTTTTATATTTTAAATAAGATAATTCTTTACTCGTCCCACAATGGGGAAATTTGCAAAGTTACAGTAGCAGCTACAGGTGTTAACTACTGCGTTGTCTTCATCAGATACTGACTAGGTTACCAAGCGGCGTTGTGTTCATAACAAGTTGCCCTATTGCTCTGCTCTGTTATCTTGCTTGCCCAAAGGTAATACTGATAAACTGCCAGTTATATCAAACTCTGTTGCAAGATTTCTGAACCCCAACCAGAGAGTTTGATCACATCAGTACTGGTACAATATCCTGGCACTGGCACACAGCCGAGGTTGTAAAATAAAGTTCTCTCAGGGCTTGTACCATGTCACCTGTCGTTTTCTGGTTCTTTATCTTTTTAATGTAAACGTAAACTCAGTATGCACCCTCTTGTTTCAGTACAGATTTATCCCACATATGTTACTGGTTTTATTTTGATGTGTTTCCGGGCTATTATTCAACACTTGTTCTGGCAATCCTAACATTTTTGATCCTTTTGATAACATTGAGCAATGTTGTGATATAAAACAATCAAAACCTCACCTCATGTTCACGTCCAATCGGTTTGAGCAAATAAAACATTTGCTTCCTTGTTGAGGCAAATCGCTGTGACCATGCCCGAATTGTGAAGTTATCACACTGATAGCTGGCATTTGGAGTAGAACATTTATTTGCAGGTGTCCACCTCAACATCATCTTCTTTTCCTCGTCGTATTTCTATGTTCGGACTGTAGCTGTGAAATACATTTCTAGATATGTGGCTGCTCCTCTGGTTGTGGACAGGACCAAGATCTTTTTGCCAAAACTCTGCATCTGTTTTGCTACTGATTTTGAAGTAATCATGAATCATGAATTGAAGTAATGTCTTTCTTTTGTTTATTTGCTACACAGAGCCATTCCTGTGCCTCCCCAGACAGCCCCTCCTCCAAGGATGGTCAACCTGTGCCAGGCAACCCAGACAACCATCCTCGCCCCCAATCCCATGCTCCAGGGGGCCTTACTGATGCAGCAGATGCAGGGTACATCTTCCATTACAGTTTAAAGACAGCAGTGTCTGGAAAAGGGCAAAAGTTGCCTGAATAATCTGAAGCAGCATTTTCATAGATGATGTGTTTAAAACTATGAAAAGCAGTAACACTTCTCTCATGCTTTCCTTTTGTTCAGGTAACATGCGGGGCTTTGGGATGGGTGGGCAGCAGTTCCGTCAGTTCTTCACTGCAGGGGCCAGGTCGTCTCTGCTCGGGCCGGTTCCCATGGGCATGGCCATCAAGTCCCCCATCATGGGTTTCCCAGCTGCACGATCGTTTCATCCACACGCTCGCTTCTACAACAATAACAGCAACACCATCACCACTACAGCACCTTCTACAGCCTGCCCCTCCTCTTCATCCATCACCACAGTAATTAACACAGCACCATTATAATGATTATTATCACTGTGGGTAGGATGTTAGCTCAACTAAAGACCAGCTCAGTCAGAGACAGTGGAAATGTTCTTCTTGTGATATTGGCTTATTTGAATGTTTCCCATTCAAAAGCAAATCAGGGTTTATCTTTGTGCTTCAAACCATCACATCTTTATTTTCAGCTTCAAAGAATTTCATTATAGTAACATCTGCAGCAACAATGGAGTTCAGTAGAATAATTACATGAGTTAAATGGATAAAGATTTAATTGATATTTACGTCATTTTCGAAACAATAATGCAAATGTATTTTTTTATTCCAGCTTCTTATATGTGGATATTTCTTAGATTTTTGCATCTAATGCTTTAATGCTAAATGTCTTTTGTTTTTAGACAGTTGTGACTAAACAGTCAAATCAGATGACTGATGACTAGTAAATCAAGAGTAAATAGCACATTACTGAACACTGGCAGTAAAGGTTAGTTGCAGTTCTGCTTGATACCAGGAAATATATTCGCTTTTGGTTTCTATAGGTTAGTTGTTGATATTAAATAGTCAGACCTCAAGTTTAAACAGGAAGATCAATTTGTCATTTAATTTGCTTATTTGTGTTTTTCTTAAATGTCACTATATCAAACTTGTGAGGGCAGCATTTAAACAAACTTTAATAAATAAGTCAAGCTTTTTCATAAATCGTGGTATCTGTCTGTGTGTAGGACACCATAGCTCGCCAGCCAGACAGGAAGCAGGACGGCGAGCAGATGGCAGCAGGAAGCACAGAAGCCCAACCAGCAGCCAGCAGCACCAGTGATGCCCATGATAAGTCTGAAACAGGTAGAGCTGCAATCCAGTCAGTGCTGAAAGATATTAAGGGATAAAGCATGAGTTTAATATCATATGTAACTTAAAACTTGTGTGCCTTCCTCGGCAAACTACAGATACTTGGAGAATTCTGATCTCTTTGTAGATAATGTTTCTTTTCTTTCTTTCAAACTTTGATGGAACAGATGGGGAAGTAGGAGGAGTAGATGGTGCCGCACAGATACTGGATGAGGAACTTGAGGAACCTGCTGCGAAAAAGTCGAGAACAGACGAGTAAAGAAACATTTTTTTATATTCTATAGCATCTAATCACATCATCAGTGTTTAATCTCTAATCCCTAGAAGGAAAAAAATACTACAATTAAGATTATGAACGCTGGCTTGTAAACCTAACAAACCAGAGGTGCCCTCTCCTTGATTACCTTAAATTTTATTCCCTCTTTCTGTCAGGTCGGAGACAATCACTATTGCAGATGCAGAGGGGGGGTTTCTTTCTTCAGTGAATAACAGCAACACCGAGAACCAGCATGAAGGTAAAACAGACACCTAAACCTAAAATGTTCTCAGATACTTCAGATTAACCACTAATTTCACCTCAGTGTAGTAATTGGTTTAGTAAAGTATTGGTCAGTTGAGATGATCACTAACTGTATGTTTCTCTCGGTCCCTAAAACATTTGCCAGATTGTGGCATTCTGGAGGAAGGACGCTCTATGGGGGAAGCAGATGCTGCTGAGATGATGGAGGAGAGCAGAGCTGATGAGGTGAGAGAAGCCTTTTATTTGGTATGGTGTTAATTTTGGAGGATGTGTCATACCTCAGGTAAATGTTTGACACTGGCGATGGTTTGACATCTGTTTTTAGGTGCAGACCTGTTTATCTGCTCCATCACCCTCTGGCGGGCTGAATGAAGATGACCAGCAGGTTAATTTACCCTCAGAGGAGATGTCGCTGGGAAAAGATGACTCCTTGGGTTCACCGGGCAACCTGGACGAAGGGGAGGAGGGTGTAGCGGACAGCGCCAACAAGTTCTACTGCTACCTCTGCAGCATCACCTGCCACAACCAGCAAGTGGGTTGAATGTACACTCACACAGCGACATACAGAGGCCGTAGTAGAATGTATTTCCTCCCAACACAATTGTGTTTTTCTCCTCCCTTCTCGCCTTGATTTGCTCTCTTTTGTGTTTTTCGCAGAACTTCAGGAGTCATATGAACAGTGTATCCCACCAGCAGAGGATGATGGAGATCCAACACATGAGCAACGCCTGTCTGGTCACACTGCTGCCACGAGTGCAGGAGTCTCTACAGGGAGCAGTCAAAGATGGGTCAGTTATTGGGTTTTTATATCCTGGTTTTCATCAAGATAATCATATAAAGAAATAAAAATAATTATCAAGAGTTTCAAATAACACTTGTTTGTGTTCTCTGCAGAGAGAATAAGGCAGACTTGAAGCGTTGGTGTGCTACCTGTCACACCCACTTCACCAGTGGAATCATGGACCACCGTCGCACCGAGGAGCACAAGGTAATCAGCTGCTTGCTTTAAAAATAAGCACATTTACACACTGTTATTTCCGAGGTCATTAAAAGTGAATACAGCTTGTCTTGTCTTACTGATCTGTTGCACCTCCATCTCTGCTCAGCTCGCCAGTAGGACAGCCATCTCCTCCTGCATGGTCTGCAAGAAACACTTCAAGACCGCTCAGATTTTTGTGGAACACTTGCAGTCCCAGGAGCACAAACAAAAAATGGAGAAGGTAGCCTTTTTTCCCCCAGAGATGAAAAGGAATTCAACCATTCGTTTTGCCATTTTGCAATTCCCTGATGTATTTACCCGTTTCTTAGCTCCAGGAAAAAGAAGGCTGTGAGGCCTTGGCCAAGCTGACTGCCATGGACACAGACGGCTTTTCTCTTGAAGAGGACAGTGAAGTGGAGGAGGAAGAGGAGAAGCGGAGGAATGAAGAAGACCAAGATTTATCTGAGAAGCAGGTGATTTGCACAAAATTTGTTGTACTTTGTTTTTCAGTTCAAGGTTTGAGTCCAACGTGACTTTGAAATAAATTCTGACATAACTGCCAGCACATCATAAACTGTGCATTTATCATAACATAGTCATTTACTGTTTCTGTGGTGAACTGGTACAGGACGGCTGGTCATCCCCTAAAGAGGTGACTCTGAAGAACATGGCCAGCGACGAGCAGTATGACCCCGACACAGTCTATGGTGAGTGACGACTACATTTTGATTCTTCTCTGAATAATTCACGACATTCCTTGTTTTTATTTACTGATGTTCCTCATTACTCTGCAGGGTCCAGTTTCTTTGTTCCGGTGGCAGGTTTTATTTGCAGACTTTGCAACAAGTTTTACCACTTTGAATCTTCTGCCCTACACACCCACTGCAAGTCACTGACGCACTTTGAGAACCTCAAGGTTGGTTTTTAACGATTACTTCATTAACCTTGTTTACTCTAATTAACAGGGAGCTGCTGATATAACGTAATCTAAATGAAAATGTTTGCTGTAACTACATTTTAAACCAGTGTCCAGCAGTTTGGAGATGCATGTATTTTGCTCAACTGTTTATGTAACCCTCGTCTCAAACTGCATTGTCTTATCTGCTTTTTCACAGAGGTCCAGATCATTGCTCAGTCAGAAGGATGAAGCTGTTGGTTCTTCAAGAGAACGTCTCCTCGCTGCAGAGAGCCTCAGACCTGTAACAGAAAACACCACAGACTTGTCAGAAGCAAATTCTCTCTCCGATGACACTGGTTCAGTGACAAACTCCACACAGCCCAAAATCACACTCACACAGACTGAAAACCAGCAGCATGAGAATGAATCTGAACCTGACCTAACATCACACGACAACATCGCCACCTCAGCGACCTGCGCTGGCAGCACGGACCAAGACCTCACCCTCCACAGCCAAGAGGAAGAGCCCACAACCGAGGGTTCTATGCTTCAGGAGACTCCTGCTGAGCTGTGCGCTGAAAGCAGAGAGGATCCGGACTCCATGCCAGTTGCTGAAGATGTTAATGAAGAAGAGCAGCTGGAGATGGAAGCTCCTGCTGTCCCAGGGAAAAAGAACGGCACATCGAAGGCAAAAACCACGACCAAACGCAGGTCAGGGAGGGCAGCGAACAGATGCTGAGACAAAAAGGTGCGGCGTGGAAAGACCGGACACCTGGTGCAACCTGAACACAGGATGTGTCCGGGTTTGAAGAGGAGCTTTCATCAAAACAGCGACCAAGACGTGCACAGACCAGCCTCTCTCCATGTTGGAAAATTAAACACACACAGTTGAATAGGAAGACTGTTGATGGTGAATTATGGTGGAACATGTCATCTAAATCCCTCAGCTGGGGTGGGAAATTAATAGCTGGTATCCAAAGCATTGATGGTGGTGTAGAAGAGCGTGGTCTGTGGTCACAGCCGTGGTAAATTAAATAACAGCAAACAGCATGAGATCATTATTGAGTCTGAACGACTAGACTCAAAACACACCTCTGTTCAGTTGTTTCAATCATGTTTCTAGAAATAAAAATGACATTTTAAAACAAGGAAATCCCCCACTAAGAAATCCAGTACACATAATTCTTAATTCTATACAACATACAAATATTCAGGCATATGAGAGATGTGTTCATACTGGAAAAGTGTCTTTAGTAAAAGCATTTTTTGTAAGTAACAAAAATAATTCCTTATTGTTTTTAATTTGGGGTCTGATGGACACTTCTCTGCTACAGCTGCAAAACAAACTGGTTTAAAAACTAAATTACAGGAAAAATAGTCTAATAAGTTAGACTGACTTGCATTGGCACATGTATCATTTCTTATTAGTTTATTCAGTCACGATCCCTGCAATGGTGAGAAGGGCTGTTATGAAATTTTATTGTGAGACATTTATGGTCGTCTGGGGATGAATCCTAATTTTGGTTATCCTCTGCTGCCAGCAATCGAGGTAATCACACTGGGATTAATGACATTTTCCAACCACAAGGTTCACATTTGTGGCTTTGAGGTGAATTTCCTTGAAATCACATACACACATCAGTGATCCCCTCAGGATAAAATGTAATAACTTAAATGATGCCTGGTTTTTCATATATCACCATCAGCCCATCAAACTAGTATGGAAGTGAGACATACTGATTTAAAATAATTAAAATGACAATTTAATTCAGTCTCTTACATGATTTTTTAAACATTAACACTTTTCAGTTTGCCCAGTCTACATTGAAATCTTTTTTTTTTCCTCCAACATTTTATTCCTGAATCTTGTCATCTCTGTAATATCCTTTGACCCCCTAAATCCACATTGTTTAGTGTTTTTAAAATATGGATGTATTTTAAAAAAGAAAGTGACCACTGTATTAATTTCCCACCCTGCTGTCCTCAAGGATCTGTTTTTGCAAATTGTCTAGCTACCTACATGAATGATTGTTAACTTAAAATAGCAGAGACGTTTTCCACGTTGCTAACCACGTAGCAAATGCTTCTAGTGAGCTGAAATGTAGAATGTAACCAAATTTAGTGTTTGAGCAGGTGAGAGCTTCTGATTAAAAAGTGTTGAAATGGTACTTTTGAGTGTTGAGAAATGCTGAATCGTGAAAATGATTACAGCCTTGTCCAGGGCCTTTTTCTTTTCGATATTTTACATTCAGTTTGTTGGCAGAAAGGTTGTTTTTCACAGTACAACACAGATTTTATTATCCTTGTCATCAGAAAAAGTTTTTAGTTGCTTTTCAATTAAGCTTCTTGTTTTCAGTCAAAAGAATCCCAACTTAATCTGTAGGAGCTGAGTGTTGAAGTGAACGCCTTCAAGTAAAGCCCTTTTATATCTGCGCACATTCATACATATTCTTGATGTTGAATAAGCAGAAGGCTTTATCAATGTGTCAAGAAATAAAAGGCCTCTGCTAACGACCAGGAAGGGAACTCAAATTAAGAGCTGTCACGTTCACAGTAGGATGTCAGCAGGTTACTCATTTTGAATTCTAAAAGCTTGTCAGTGGAGACTTGATGCTGCTCGAAGCTTAAAAGCCTGCAAAGTGGTGGGAGTTTTTTCACTTTCACTAGTTGAATGTTGGAGATTACAGCTTGGGAAAAACCCACAAATTAGTCTTTTATAAGATAAAAATAGAATCGATCATGTTTGCTGTCACATTCCCATGAACGTTTGTCAAGTGTGACTGCATTAGAGTTGTAGTTCCATAGCTATAGAGTTCATAGCTTAATGGACATAAAAAAATGCTTCTACGAGCATTGAAGACACAAAAATATATGAAGGGGTTGTTTTGTTGCCTCCAGTTTACCATTGCTTTGATCTTTGATTTTCTTTCTCTCATTGAAGATGTTTTAGTTGAAATGCAGTGGACAGTTGAAATCACACTTACGTTAACAACCCCAATATTATCTGCAAAAACCAACCCATGCACCATCTGTAGGAATTTACTTTAGTACAAAGTATTACTGTATCTCTTCAACCCAGACAAGAAACGAGAACTAGAGAACTACCCCAACTGCAGATGATACAAACATTTATCTTTGGTTTCAGGATTTCAGCAGTCATGAGATACAAAGCGCAAATATTTATTTAAGGATGTGTTATTTCCTTTTTCATGACTAATGTGTTATGGAAACAGTTCCTCTTCCACATTACAGGAAGATGCTTTAAACCACAGATGGCTGGCTGACGCGTAGCAACTGTCGTCACGTCAGCGACTGTCACATGATTAGTATTGTCTGAAGTTCTGTCCTGCAAGAACGAGACACAAGGCTTCGGCTCTGAAACGGAGATAGAGACGTGCAAAAGATCATTTCAAACAAAGCTGTATGTTTCTTAATGTATTTTTATTCAGCTACTGACAAAACTGAGTTGAACAAACAAGCAGTTGATGTTTTCTAATTGCTGGAAGTTTAATGTATTTTTGGATGTTTGTTTTCTGTTTGGGGGGGGGGGGTCCCTTTTAATTTAAATTAAAATGTCTGACAATTACCAGTTTGTCCACTTGGTTTTTGGCTAGAAACAGATTTCATGAAACAGGACAGCACAGCGTAGAGATACAATCGCAACAAAAATCAAACATTAAACACAGACAGACAAATGGAATGTTGCATATATTCTTTTCTTGGGATGATAATATACAGAGATTTTAAAGCTACGACTAAACACAACACTGACAGGTCATGAGGACAAGTGACAAATCTGTGATGACCTTTTTAACATAGTTAATTCGTTGATAAGATCACGATGGACATCAGGGTTAATTAACTTTAAACTTTGTTTTATTCAGTAATGATGCCACATTATTAATTCAGATCATTTATATATTATTGTTTACATTATATATAGTTCTATTTCTGGTGTTAGGAAATGTCCCCACAATGTCTCACATGAACATTAACAACTCTGCACAGACGGATGCAGCTTTTCACATGGCAAAGTTACTGTAATGTCCAACGTGTATGAGAAGCTGCTGGAGGTCAATAAACTCCACTCTGCTCAGGAGCAACACACCGGCACACTACAGTTCAACAAAGGAGAGAAACTGCACTGCATTCAATGATCGAGGGGATTTAAAATACCACAGTCGGGCACACGTCTGCCGATGAGGGTGAAAATTCACAGGTATGGACGATGCAGATCAAGGGTTAGTTGAGACGTCTTCAATAAATATTTCTATTCCTGCATTTTTTGGTCCCCACTTGTCTACTTGCTCTTGTTGCTCATTTGCGAGCCCCCACCATCTTCGTTCAGCTCCTCCTTCCCGTCTGTGGATTGATGCTCATCCTGGGTTTGGGAGCCAAGCAGCTGGGCCCTGAACTCCAGCCGGGCTTGTCGGTTTGACTCCAGCAGTTCGTGCATTTTGCCGTTGAGCGCGTCGTTGCGCTCCTCCAGGCCGTCAAGATAGGAGTTGATCTGATCAAGCATGGAGTTGATGGCAATGTACTCTGTGGATAAACAGCAGAGAGGGTTAGAGTCTTGTCTGTTGTGGAAAACAAAGACTCAGTAAACAGATGTGGGTTTGTTTTCAAAATAAAAGTACTAGAGGGTTTCTTACTGTATTTATATCTCTAGACCTGTTGTTATTACTTCAAATAAATGGATGTAAACTCTCAGTTAGAAATCCCCTGAAGCCACTGAGATGGTCCAAAGTCAGCGTTACATTCACAACAGTTTTTAACGAGTGATCATGATGTGTATCTCATATTTTAAGTTAAATGCCTTTATTTGTTTTCTCTGTTCTTAACCTATGTAAAGAGAGCATTGTTAAATCGTATTATTGTTATTATTAAGTCTTGCCTTCATTTATCTGTTTCTTATTTTGCATATTTTTACTGCAATGACAAATAACTGGCTGGATCGACACAGTGGATTTGTTTTTGTGTTTTTTAAAAGGACTCGTTAGCAGCATCGATTACAATGAATGAAGACAGGAGCTCGTTACCTTCGTCACCGAACTCATCTTCATCGTTTATGACGCCGTCCTCCATAGACATGCTCGGGTCTCCGTTGGGTCCAGACATGGCTCAGATATTCTCCTTGATCACTTTCCTGTTTCCACTGGCGAGCTAGCCGAGCTAACAGCTAGCTGCTATTAGCCAAGGGCTCGAATAACAAATAAGATTCAGTAGCGATGAGCAAAAGTGAAAAACAAGCGTTCGAACAGTTTCTGTAAAATCCACAGAGATCAGAGGGAAACGTCCAGATCGTTTTTTAACTACTTTGAAGCTTTTTATTTAAAGTCTGTGGTTTGACCTACGATCTGCTCCCTTGTTTACCAATGGATTCTGGGAGAAGAGTGGGCGGGGCTTGACGGTCTCATCAGAGTTTCATGGCTCTGAGAAAGATGGCTCACTCTGTTAGATATCCTGATAAGGAGTCGAATAGAAATGCCTCCACTCCCACGACACACCAGCGAAGGAGAAGTGTTGACTTTGTTATAATTGTTTTAATTAATAGTTTCCGTTTCAGAGCGAGATTCATTATGGTCAATTCAAGTGTCATTGACTGCGATGGGAGGTTTCTGAAAGTAGGATCAGAGTGAGCTCGCTTTCGTTCTCTTTGTGTCTGAGCTGTCAAGCGCTGTCGGTCAGCTGACGGCACGCGCAGCTAACAAGTGAAAACATATTAGGAATAAAAAGAAGAAGATGCTTTTAATTCATTCTTTCAAACATGTTTTTGCATATA